GAGATGGGAAAAGAATGGCTAATCCTTAAGTAGTTGATGTCGTGTTTATCATGTGCCAGGCATTACTCGAAGCTCTTCCTATGTATTCATCCATTTCCTGGCCCCAGCAACTCTCTATTATCACCCATTTTACAGATAAAGCAATTGAGGCACATAGAAATTAGTGCCCAAGTCACTCAACATATAAATGCCAGAATTGGCATTTGAACCCATGCAGCCTGATACAGAGTCCACACTCTTAAGCTGTAGGAAATAGAAAGAATCACAGCCCAAGCTATGGTAATAGCGGCCATCACTGGAGAAGGCAAGGAAGAATGAATATTGCTTGTGGCACTTATTACCTCCCCCACCTAGCCATGCTCACTTCCTTCCCACTCATCCCCCAAGAGCTTTTCTTCCTGGTTAGTCAACGTCCCCCAGCCCTGACACCCTTCTTTACCCAGCTGGAAATTCTACCCCATTGTCAAGTCAGTAGGCTCATGCTTTCTAGAGGGCCAGTGTCTCCATGATCAGCTCAGCCCACTCTGCAGATTCAAGGCCTCAGCAAATCTGACCACTGCTGGCCACACACCCAGCTCAGCCCCTGATCCAGGTGCCCCCACCTCAGATCCTTACAAGACACAGGTTGGGACCTGACCACATTAATGCAACAAGCTTTCCCTGAGCACTTCCTGTGTCCCCAGCCCCAAGACCAGCATTTGGAAGAGGACATGAATGAGCTACACCCCTGACCTCCACGAGCCCACAGTGTAGCAAGGAAAACCAGTCATGTAAACGGATCTCTAGGATACCCTGTGGTCAACGCTAAAATTAGAGACGTGTCCCCAGTGGGCTGAGGGCACATGTGTCAGAATGATTCACGCCACATGGTCGGAAGAGGAGGCTCCAAAGTGCCTCTGGGTGAGCTCATTCTTCATGGAGCCATCCTCAGAGACCTACCGGAAGGAGAGCCAAACTGGGGATGTGGAGATGTGGGGACTCACGCCAGCTTTGCTGAGTGACCCTGAAACACACCTGGGCCCCGAGGTCCCCAGCTGAAAGTGAGACAGGAACCCAAGTAAGTGATCAAGGCCATATTCACATTGACTCATAGACTGAGAACAGTCTTCATTGCTCACTTCCCTTCCCATTCTGCCCACTGCATCCAGGAGCGAATCTGTCTTGGTGTCAGTTTGTCTTTCCGCCTCTCAAACACTTGCCAGCCTGCCTTTTGAACCCAGAACTCAGGTCCACAGCCTACATCACCCACAATATCTAGCCAGGATGTAATAACGGTTTGTTCTCCCTGCGCTATTTAGTGTTACGGTTACATGCTATTTTTGATGATGAATATTGGTTTCCCATTGGCAGTGATGACATAAAGCCTCCTTCGGAAAAAATTTTAACATTAAAAAGTGAGTCAGTTTAAAGTAATATAGTAGATAATACCATAATTGGTATGAACTCTATGTAGGGCAATTTAACAAACATCAAAATTTGAAACACACATATAAAAACAGCCAAAGCAGTTCTGTGCTATTTGACATTCTGACTGTGATTACTGCTGGAGGGAAGGGGTGGTGACCAGAAGCGGGCATAAGGGTTGGGGCGCTTCTGGCTTCTGCTTCTTGTTCTACTGGTTGACCTGGGGGCTGATTATACATGTGTGTTTACTTCGCAAAAATCCGTCAGGCTGGGTATACTTCTGATCAGTGCATTTCCGTATGTTGATTATACTTTCACGTATCCCTTAGGCCAGTTCTTCTGGAAACTATCCTGCAGATATACACACTCATAAAATGACACGTTCAAAGCGGCTCATTGCACTGCTGTGTGCAGTAACTAAAGATTGGAAACACCCGACTTCCCCAGCTGAGGACTGATGGAATAAGTTTGGGCACAGCCTACAGTGAATTCTATGTAGTCATCAGACAGAATGAGGCCACTATCAGAGCTCCAAAATTCACAAGGACTTAAATTTAAGTGAAAAAGTAAGGGCAGAACTGTGTATAATGTGCCACCCTATATGGGGGCAAAAAGAATATGTAATACATGCATATGTTCATGCCGAGGGCATCCCATGGCTAGGATATTATCTTAGAAGAGAGTGATGGGAAACTGATCATAGCTATCCCCTCTGACCAGCGCAGGACGGGGAGAGGGGTGGGAGGGAGGCTTGTCACCGATAACTACTCTTTGATATTATAAAGTTTTGCACAGTGTCCTTGCAATTCCTATTTGATAATAAGTTTTAAAGCAAAAAGTCTTACAGAAAGTGCCTGCCTCTGGTGAAACGTGTGGCCCCTTCCAGGCCTCAAGATTGAGTTGAAAGTGTTAGTACTTTGAGCTTATCAAGCAGGTAACCCCTGACCCCACTCCACATCCCAAGGGATGGTACCCGAGCTAATGGGCCTTCCTAAATGGGTTTCCAGTTAACAGCAAGGCCAGTCTAGGACAAATTACTCACTCACACTGCTCTCCACCCTGCAGAGAAAATCTGGCCCCTGGAGCTGCCCTACCAGAGCTGGCAGGTGGCAGAGTTCTTGGCATGGGTGGGGGAGGTTTTTAAGCAGAAATACTTCCAGGAATGGGAGGTCAAGGATTTGGTAAGGCAATCTCAGTTGGCTGGAGAGGAAAGATTCTGAGTCCCGAGTCCCACCCGGCCTCAAGAGAAGCCAAGCAAGGGCCACTGAGTGGTCTTCCCTCCAGGTGACAGGGGACAGAGACAGAACAAGGCCTTGAAAATTTGAGTTCCGGGGCACCTGGGTGGCTCAGTTGGTTAAGCATCCAGTTTTGGCTCAGGTCATGATCTCGCAGTTTGTGAGTTCAAGCCCCACATGGGGCTCTGTGCTGACAATTCAGAGCCTGGAACCTGCTTCAGATTCTGTGTCTCCCTCTCTCTCTGCCCCTCCCCTGCTTGTGTTCTGTCTGTCTGTCTGTCTGTCTGTCTCTCTCTCTCTCTCTCTGTCAAAAATAAATAAACATTAAAAAAAAATTTTAAGAAAATTCGAGTTCAATTGTACCTGTGTCACTTTCTTTTGTACAGCACTAGTCTCACCCACATGTCACCATCTCCCCAAATCACTAATCCTAAAAACAACCCAATGAGGTGTGGGTATCAACTGCCCATTTTATAGACAGGAAAATGGAGGTGCAAAGGAGGTTAAGAATAAGAGACTGGTCAGTGGTTACATTTGGAGATTAGCGGTGAAACCAGAAACATAGCTCCCACCTTCTGGCTCCTGATCTTCCCACCTCCCCACCCATCAGCCTTAGCCTTCTCCCTTTCAACTGTGACCTACAGAGAGAAGAGCTCCTGGGGCCAGACAAGCAAGGAGCAGGCAAAGAAGCTGAGAATCAGAACCAAGGGGCCTATGAGACCATCCGGCCCAGCAGTTTATAACCCTGACTACAAACTAGAATTACCTGGGGAGCTTACATAAGTTTAAATAAATATCTATGCCACAGCCCAGGTATCTGTAGTGTTTTTAAAAGCCTCTGGTTGATCCTGGTGCAGCTTTGGGAGAGAATCCCCCCTCCCAACCCCACATACAACCTTCTGCCTCCCTGGAGCCTCCACCATCTTCTGCTCCGTCCTCTGGCCCCCAAAGGTCCGGCTCATCCCTCTTCCACATTATTTAGAGCCCGGGAACTGGACTGGGAATTGGGCTTAGCCTCGTCCTCCAGACAGGCAAGTCGTTGAACAGCTGAGGCCTCACACAAGGAAGTGACCTGCCTAAGATCTCCCAGTGAGTCAATAACAGAACAAGACTAGAATCTGGATCTCCTGACCACCAGGCAACATCATAGCCATAGAGGGGTCAAGTGGAAAGCCAGACCTGTTTGTTATCAGGCGGATCTGGCTGTTCGTGCTAGCAGAATAGATGCAACGAGGGGCCCGAAGAGGAGAATGGGGTGTGCATATATTTCAGGAGAGATGGGAGTCAGCGATCGCCCCTCCAGTCCTTGTGGCATAGTGGGGGCAGGAGACTATTCTAGAATGGCAACCCTGGAGCTGGCCTATAGAAAGATGTCCTCATTTCTAGGTGGGGGTCCAGCCTAGTCTGAAATCTTCATGAAGAAATCAGTCCCTGGGGACAACTTACCAGGTGGGCCCAGCCTCCCAGGCCACAATAGTAATAATGGCTCACATTTCTTGAGCTTTTCACTGGTCCCTGTGCTGAGCACTGTACTTGGCCTGTTTCATTTTATCTCCACACTCATCCTAAAAGTTAAATATAATTACCGTCTCTATTTGCAGATGAAGAAACTATGGCCTAGAGAGTTTAAGTAACTTCCTCAAGATCACTCAGCTAGAAAGTGGTAGTGGCAGGATTCGAAGCCTGGTTCGTGGCCAACCACTAACACCCTGCCGCCCAGCAATACACAAGAGGAGGTAAAGCTCGGTGGCTGCGGGAAGTTACCCAGCATCCAGGGGCTGCTGGGACCTCCCCAGACGTGGTCTGGTGGAATCCTCCCCACCACTCCAAGGACAAGGCACACCCATCCTACTTCCACCGAAGAGGAAAACGAGGCCCAATTGGGAAGCATCTCACTCTGGGGCATCCGCAAGTAGCTAGTGCGGACAGGTCTGGGCGTCCAGGTTTCCCGCCCTATCCGGACCTCTTCTCCCCAGACTGGTCGGGAGGCAAAGTCTAACACTGGGAGGGCGAGTGGGCGCGGCCAACCAGCTAACCCGGACCTAGCGCACCCGCCGACGCCGGGCAGACGCGGAAAACCAACGTTCTGGGCAGGTGCACACAGGTGAGCCACGTAGCGCTCCTTCGTCGTAGCCAACTGTCTCTAGCGCTCCCGTGCCACCGGCTGCTGAAATTCAGGCTGAGCCGGGGCGGCAGAATTTCCTGGTTCCCGGGGAGAGTGAGACCAGAAACTAGGCGCGCCCTCCCCGCCCCCTCCCTGGAGCAGCCAAGTGTGGACCCAATCCCGGTTCGGCGTGGGGGCGGTCCAGGGAGTATCGGCAACCCCTTCCCCCATCTCAGGGTCCCCGTGGGGTCACTCACCCAGAACACCGTGGAGTAGATGACCAGCGAGAACTTGAGCCAGAGGTAGGAGAGGCGCGCGCAGTAGCGCACCTGTTCCGAGTCCCCGCGGGGCATCCTGGATACTCTCCGCGGGGCTCTGGGTCCCCGGGGCTCCCGAGTTAGGTCCCTCGCCGCGAGCAGCCCCACCTGCGGCTGCCAGCCGCGCCGCGCGCCCAGCCACCGGCGCCAGCTCCGGGACTGACATCGGCTAGCCGCAATCACAGCCCCGGCTGGGACCAGCCGGCCCAGCGGCCAATGGGCGCGAGGCCCCGGCCCCGCCCTCTGAAAGGGGGCGGGCAGGGGGCGGGGCTGAGGCCAGGGCCCACCGGAGGCGAAGGGAGCAGAGGAGGCGAGGGTTAGTCAAACCAGGTCTCGTGCAATCCCGGAGACGCCTGTGCTAAGGGCGCGGAGGGGGCCGTGGGAGAGTGTGCACAGACAGACGCTGGGGAGACGGCAGGCGAACCTAATTCGGGGTACAAAGAAGTGCGTGCTTCCCACTGTTGCCAAGAGGGAAGACTGTACCAAGAGGGCAGGAACTAACCGCTAAGGTGTTAAAAGTGTGCAGATGAATGTGTAAGACGTGAACGGAATAAGGCAGTGGAGCTGCTCAGGCTGAGTGAGGCGGGGGACCGAAATTAGTAGGCAAGATGCAGCAAACCAGAGTGGGACTAAGGGGTCCCATTGGAGCTGTGGCCACGAGTTCATCTTTGTCACAGATCCCCAACCAGCCTTCTTCCAGCAAGCCTCCGGGGATCTTCTTCTCTGAGGCCGGTGGCGTTCCCAACCTTGCCCCGAGGGGCCCCCTCCTCTGGGAAGCGCTTTCCCCACCCATCCTCAGGCCAGGTCAGCGGACCCTGGCACACGCTTGGCCCCGGTCTGACCCAGCCTCTTCCCTTCCGGGGTGTCCTCTGCCTGGGGTCAGAATCTGTCTACCCCAGCCCCATCTTGACTCATCGTTGTTTCGTCGCCGAGCTCAGCCTGGGGCTTGGGAGTCAGACAGCCGTTTTTGTGGCGTTCGGTAATTAAATGTGTGGCCTAGAGGTCACGAGCTCAAGGCCGTGTTGGATGGGGTCCCTGGTGGTGACTGAAGGAATGGCATCCTAGTCTAAGTCCCCTATTCACAAGAGGCCCAGAGAGAGAGAGAGACCAAGTCAGAGCCAGCCACAGCCACAGCCCCCTGGGCTCTGCCCGAGAAAGAAGAAAGTAAGGTTGGGGTATGGAGTGTTGGGGAGCAAGAAGGTCCTGCCCCTTCAAGGTCCTTCTAGCCAGACCAAGAATCAAATTGACATGACACAGTTGAACAGGCGAAAATCATGTACCAGTACATGTGGAGAATCCACATAGACATGAAAATTCCAAAGACAGTCAGGCAAAGTGATATGCAGGTCGTTCTGAACTAAGGAGAAAGGGGTAGAGAGGTCTGGGATTTCAAGGAGAAGAAATGCAATTCACAGGAAGATGAAAAAGAGTAGAGGTTTGATAAGGAACTGTTTTCTGGGCCCCTCGAGGACAAAGGGACAAAGAGGACTTGGATAAACAGCCTTGCTAGGTTCCTCCCTGTCCACATACCTAGTGTGTGTCATAATGTAGTTATCTGCGTCTTCCTGGAGCAGATTCTCCATCCACATTCTTTTTAGGAAGTTGAGGGGGAGGTAAAGAGCTTCTCCTGAATCTATTGGGTTGTGACGCTTTTTAATTCAAAATAATTTTCATGCCAAAGTGGCCCATCTTCTGGAAAGCAGTGTGGAGTTGCCTCAAAAAATTAAAAATAGAGCTCCCCTATGACCCAGCAATAGCACTGCTAGGAATTTACCCAAGGGATACAGGAGTGCTGATGCATAGAGGCACCTGCACCTCAATGTTCATAGCAGCACTCTCAACAACAGCCAGATCATGGAAAGAGCCTAAGTGTTCATCACCTGATGAATGGATAAAGAAGATGTGGTTTATATATACAATGGAATACTACTTGAAATGGGAAAGAATGAAATCATGCCATTTGCAGCAACGTGGATGGAACTGGAAGGTATTGTGCTGAGTGAAATAAGTCAGTGAGAGAAGGACAGATATCATGTTTTCACTCCTATGTGGATCTTGAGAAACTGAACAGAAGACCATGGGGGAAAGCAAGGGGGGAAAAATAGATACAAACACAGAGGGAGGGAGGCAAACCACAAGAGACTCTTCAATACAGAGAACAAACTGAGGGTGGATGGGGGCGGGGGAGAGGGGAAATGGGTGATGGGCATGGAGGAGCCCTGGGATGAGCCTTGTCGGGATGAGCAGCGGGTGTTGTATGGAAACCAATTTGACAGTAATTTATATTCATCAAAAAACCAAAAGCAAAGTGGCCCATCTTGGGGCAGCCAGCCCTTGGCCCCTACAGTTGAAAGGCAATGCCTTGCCCAGAGAAGTAAAAGGAATTCAGTTTCCTGGTACAATGGAAGCAAGTCCGGCAAGGGTGTCTGTAATGGGTAAGGGACACGGAACCAGGAAGGAATAGCCAAGAGGTACAGAGACATCTTTTAAAAAGTTATCCTTTAAGGAGGAGGAAACTAACTCTTTACCCTTCTTTGGGGGAATTAGCTTCCCTCCCCGAGCCCTGGAGTGCTGGCCTTACAGCCTCTCTTTGAGGTGCTGGTCTCATCCCCTCCCCCCCCGCCCCCCCCCCCAGGGATTGTCTGTCTCCCTCTCCCTGGGGGTCAGCCTCCCCACTGGGGTTTTCTTTCCGGTTACCCCTGACCTCTGTTCTGGCATCTAGCTAGCTGCAATTTCTCTTCTATTTTAAGTGTTTCCTGGGGACAGGCATGTACCAGCAGCCCCTCTGGGCTCTCCCTGAGCCTCTATAAGTAGTGCCCTCGGTGATGAGACTATGAGAGCCCTGCACAGGGAGCCTGGAGCTCTTTGGAACCAACACACCCTTACCTGGGCTTCTGACCTCTCGTTGTCCTTCCCCACCCCTAGCCTGACCCCAAGTACTGTAGGCCGCCCACAGCCACATTTGCAGACACTGAGATGTCTCAAGAAGTGACGCCTTATCTTTTAACTTTGCCATCCTTTTACCAGGAGCTCTGGGCCAGGGAGTGGGATGGGGGAGTCAGCAGGCCCAGGGCTCATCCTGGTTTTGCCGTGAACTTTTTGCAAAAACCCTTAGAACGTGTGGCAAAGATAGTGTGACATACAGGTGTGAGCGTGGCCCTGGCTTCAGTTTACAACCCCCTGGTGAGGTTTAAATGTATGCTTATATCCAGGCGCCCCCTTAGTTGGGTTAAGTCAGGAACTCCACCAACTGGGACTGGGAATAGGTATTATCTTAAAAGTCCCAAGTAATTTCCCAAGCGCAGCCAGAATGGAGCATCGCTGATTTAGAGGTAATCATGCAGGCGAGGTGGCCATTTCATCAGGCAGGCCACACTCCAGAGGTCACTCGGCTTTCCAGAGGGGTGCTGGTGAAGGGATATTAACTGTCTATTGCTGGGTGGTGGATGGGAGGACTCTTCGTGCCAGTTTGCAGAGGGTAAATACTTCCACCTATGGACCCTGGGCGTTAAGAAGAGACGCGATCGCACAAATAGCTCCTCACACCTCTGCAGCTGTCCGCCTCTCAGTCCACTCCTGAAGCTTTACTTATTAGTGCAGAGAACCCCTCCCATAATGACAGAATGCATCCGTGAAATTCATGCCTCATCAGTTAGCATAACAGGTATTAGAAATGAGCTCTCCGTGGAGAAGATATTTGCAAGCGACATATCAGATAAAGAGTTAGTTTCCAAAATCTATAAAGAACTTATCAAACTCAACACCCAAAAAACAAATAACCCAGTGAAGAAATGGGCAAAAGACATGAATAGACACTTCTCCAAAGACATCCAGATGGCTAACTGACACATGAAAAAATGCTCAACATCACTCGTCATCAGGGAAATACAAATCAAAACCACAATGAGATACCACCTCACACCTGTCAGAATGGCTAAAATTAACAACTCAGATTAACAACAGATTTTGGCGACGATGCGGAGAAAGAAGATCTCTCTTGCACGGCTGGTGGGAATGCAAACTGGTGCAGCCACTCTGGAAAACAGTATGGAAGTTCCTCAAAAAAATTAAAAATAGAGCTACCCTACAACCCAGCAATTTCACTACTAGGTATTTATCCAAGTGATACAGGTGTGCTGTTTTGAAGGGGCACGTGCACCCCAATTTTATAGCAGCGCTATTGACAATAGCCAAAGTATGGAAAGAGCCCAATTGTTGAGTCTTACTCAACAATCAAAAAGAATGAAATCTTGCCATTTGCAACTATGTGGATGGAACTGGAGGGTATTATGCTAGGCGAAGTTAGTCAGTCAGAGAAAGACAAATATATGACTTCACTCATACGAGGACTTTAAGATACAAAACAGGTGAACATAAGGGAAGGGAAGCAAAAAGAATATAAAAACAGGAGGAAGTACAAAACATAAGAGACTCTTAAATATAGAAAACAAACAGGGTTGCTGGAGAGGTTGAGGGAGGAGGGAAGGGCTAAATAGGTGAGGGGCATTAAGGAATCTACTCCCGAAATCATCGTTGCACTCTATGCTAATTAACTTGGATGTAAATTTTAAAAAAGAAATTAAAATTCCAATAAATAAATAGATAGATAAATAAAAGAAATGAGCTCTCCTTGGGTGAAATTAGTAGTCTTCAGGGTGTGTAGATTATCTAAAATGAGACCCCTCCCATTTCTCGTTCAGAGCAAAGGAATTTCCCCTACAGATGATGCATAGGGCTTAGTCCTTGAGGAGCCCATGTGCCGTGATATCTGGTTGCCTGATGTGACCATCAGTCTAACTGACCCTGTGTCTAGAGTGTTGTGTCTCCCTTGAGTGGACCCTTCATGCAAGGTGATCAAGGTCCTGAAAACACAGAGAGCTGGGCCTTCACTGACTTTACAGAGCAGACTCTTCCCATCAATTTTGTGGCTACTTGCTAGTAAGTGCTTGTTCTGTTGGTATTCGTGTGGATGTCACAATTTGTTCTGAGATCTGTTTTCGTGATAAACTGGCAGGGAGACCGTAGGAGGAAATAACTAACCGTCACCTTTAGTGGCTACTACTGTTTATGATAAAGAACCTAAGGAGGTGCATGACCAACTTGGCCTGCAGAAGTTGGCGTTCATGCCGCTGGGCAAATGACTGTGCCCCTGGCTCCCCATCTGCGAAACCGT